CATTTAAAGCTTGTGCATATTTTCTTGCTTCCTGATCAATCGCTGTTAATGCATTTGTTAGATATTCTGCTTTTCACCTCATCCTGGTGTTCACGTATATCGTTTCGACTTTTCTCAAGAGAAATCGCACAATCGTGTACCGTGTCTATTCCACAAAATCTCGTAATGTGGCATTTTGACGATTCACCCCATTCTCACTAATCACGTTTACTGTTGACTTTTTGATCACGCTTTACTCCCTGCAGTCGTGATACATTAAATACACTTGTCCGCGAAATCAGCGGTGTGGGTAAGTCAATACAGAAGATCAGCGCCAGTGAGAATATAGGATAATTTGGATGTAGCTAGCTGAAGCATGACTGACCCTACAACAAGACCAGATATTGCAATGCACCTACTAACATAAAATATGTTGGTAGCTTTGCAGATTTTATAAGAAATATCGTCATATTCATGGGACAGTGGATTGCTCAGTCCTTCTGAATCGAATCTGTACCAAACATTTTCGATGTGCAGATATAGAAAACACCATCATCAGTAAGATCAAAGGAGAAAAGAAGTGGGGTTATATTGAGACACACTGAAATTTTTAAGAATAGCTTGATGTGATTATGATCGAGAGTTTTTCATTACCACAACATCGCTAAATGAATAACACTCTATCGCTGGTTGTTATATCATATAAAGTTATCTTTTCATGGTGTGTTACACCATACATCAGTGTCCACTTTATACTCTTATATCAGCACAGGAATCAAATTTGCTAACACAACACTCAGTGTTGTGTTTTCGTATGACTCTTATTTCGACTGCGTAGCTTTATTTCCCCAAAACATCTAACAGATCGCAATATTTTCCGACTACACTTCTCCAAACGCTACTGCTGATTGAAATGGTCAACTGTGTCAGTCACTTAACTTGCCAGGATAGTTGAACCAAGATTAGTGTATTGGTCATCTAAATCTGGTCACACAGGGTCTTTGAAAAATCTGAATGACTAGCAGTAGGTTTCCCCATTGTATGGTGGTCCGCCATCTCCAACTTCGTGATTATGAAACACAACCGCTGTGAGATTACAGGTCTCGTCAGTGTAGGTCCCATAGAAACATCGTTATACGACTCGACTATCACTTTATCCTACTAAATGAACTGACGGTATGTTATCTCGGTCTGTGTGTTTCAAGAATATGATAGACCGTGTAGATCCCACTTCGCCTAATTCCACTAGGGTAAAGAAAATCATTATGATACTCTGACAGGTACACACGCATACTCGCACCATACACGAAGATAGACAATGCAGATAAGTCGCAAACAGTATACAGTTTCCGTTTCACGAACACGTATTATGACCAGAATGTCGAAATATTAGGTTTGAGTGTACACTGTCCGAGTGAAATGTATATCTATATTGAAACGAAGTTGGTCATAACAGACTAGTTGAATTCCTGCCTCATTCACTTTGTGTGATAATTTCGCCTCAAAGTGTGTGTCTGGAGTTAATCCTGATTTATAGTGTTTAGTATCCGGTGTTTCACTTTGCCACACGCCTAACCAATTTTATCCAAAAGAGCTAGTTAACAAAATGAGAGATTTGACCACTCCACCTCCAGGGAAGAGATACTTCATGTCATACAAATGATATCTGATTAGTTGGACCCGTAATAAATTGATGAAAACCCGTCGCTCTTCTTCTCAACGATGAAAGGACAAAATAATATGACTTGCAATGTCATTCAGACTGTCTCATGACAGGCGTATCAGGCAATCTTTTGATTTGAAATTAAGGCGGAGAACAAACACTAGGTGATTAACGGGGGAAATGTAAATACGTGAGAAATGCTGCTCATCATTGACGCACTTGTGCATGTATTCAGCCACCATTATCACATGATGAGGAGAGATTATGATATATGAATGCTCAAGCTCCGTTATATTGGGTGGACTCAGTGACCACAATGACCAGCAATTGACAGTTCATGACTTAAGTGAATAAAATCATCAATGGCAACCTGTCTTTACTTCGACTAAACATATTGCATTTTGGAAAGGGAAGCTAGCACTGCAGTGAAACGCGATCTATACAATTTTGTGACAGAAATAATAACTGATGTCTGTTTCACATCGGGGTATCACAGCACATTAGTAGATAATGCATCGGAATTTGAAACGAAAGTCGGTTCTGAGTTTGAGTCTCAGTAAGACAACCATCACTACTGATATGACTGATATGATTATGAGCAATAGTTTGTGCTCGAAACGTCATCAGTTAATTTAACTGTACAACACTGTGTGATTTATTACAATAAAATCTTATCCATAATGGAGTTATACTCTACCACAGTGTCCAAGTTTTATACTTACATCACTACTGAGTTCCAGGCATATACAACTAATGAATCCCAAATAAGGTGAAACGCGTACATTGGACTACATTGGTTCCAGCCAACTCTCAAATGACGAAGAACACAATGGTGATGAAATAGAGAGCAGCTATGTCAATAGGAAACAGATAAATTCAAAGAGATTATCAGGATTTTCTCAATTGTCTTGATCTGATATGGACAGCGTTTCCACCTTATCACATACATATGACCACCTGCTTAGGAGGTCACTGGTAGAGAGGAAATAAACAATGATGCTTCCTCAATTGATGTCGCTACGCTTAATAAGTCCTTCATATGTCGTCCAGTAGATTTCATGATATCTAATGCTACAAGTGTGTGGAATGACCGCCTCTCTGGTTTTAACACAAATGACGTCCTCAAATGTCTTCGATCCTTGGAATCTACTGAGTCCCTTGTCTAGATGGTGTGGCTACTATTATCCTCCAAAATATGGGGACAATTTATATCATTTTCTCACTGTCATTTTCAGTGAATCATCTTTCGCCGACTGTGTGCCTTCTTTTGAAAGGATGTTAAACGTGTTCCGGTGCCAAAATCAACAATTAGACCAAGTGTTATATTTTTGACCTATTACTATTACTTCGCCATTTTTAAAACTTGTGGTGGAAAATATGCTTTCACTTAACCTTGAACCTCCTTCGAAGAATTTTAGCGACCATGAACAATTTCCTTACAAACATAGTAGGTGTACTTTATACACCTTTGTTATCTCCCATCACATGATTTTCTCCAGTTTAGAGCATTTTTAGTGTGCCTTCCTACATCACTCATCTCCCTTCAACTTTACACCTACGGCTCTTCTCCTAAACAAGCCTGCTGAGACACATTCAGCGTACTGGATTAATAAGTGGTTGTATTCTTACTTTCCTGATAGAAATCAGTACACTGTTCACTATGGGAAGTCCTCCGATGCTTAAATTGCTCTAGCTGGAGTTCCTCAAGCAGCTGTTCTCTCTCCTTTTCTGTTTGCCTTCTTCTTACATGACTCACTCTATCATTCTGACGAATCCAATTTTGTTGAGTATGCCGATGATTTGAATGTTCCCATGCCTGTTACTTCTCAGTCGAACAGTTCCAAAATGAATAACCTTTTATCAGAAATTGATCAGTGGTCCTTTCCGAACGGTCCTAGACCAAATCCCACAAAATGTCAGCTTGTTAATTTCACTTTCAGACATAGTCGCCACGTTCATCAACTAGTTCATTTCCATGATTCTTATATTATAGATGGATGTTAAGTGCCTTGTATGGTATGTTTTCTCTGATCTCCCCTGGTCTTCCCACATTACGTTATTTTCTTCAAAGATACTTCGCCTTTCTCTCTACATAAGAAAGTAAGGGAGACAATCTGGAATCACTTAGTCTGTACTTCTACAGTTTGTTAATTCTCGTATCTTACCTGCTCTTCCTGTTCGCTCCCCTGCCTCAATCTTTCCTAGGCTACCTGAGATACACTCTGTTACACTGCGAATGACAATAAAAGCTGTCGCTGGAGAGAGAAGATTTTCGTGAAACCAAGTCGTCAACACTCTTTTGTATAGACACTTCAGCTGACGCAAGGAATTAGAGACTTTCATCTTTTCTGACTCTGAGCACCTTCTCTGTAACCGACTCTATCTTTGCATTTCATCTAGTACTACTATAAACAGCCTTGAGAGACATTATGCTCGGACGAGTAATTAGAACAACTCTGCGATGCCCTATGTGGTACACATTTCATGTGGTGAGAAAAGTGGAAGGCATGACATTACTAACTTCCCCTGAAACGCTGAGGGAATGACACTTGTAATTTCCTTGTTCCATTGATACAATGTTGTTAATGATTTCCCTCAAACTTCACATTCATATTTTTATCCCACAATATTATCAATGTTTGCGTCCTGTTCATTGTTCCCCCACCCCATCCGGTCCATATATATAATGTGAAGAGAAAATCCGATGAAGTATTCTATTACATGCTGACAATTTCACATTTTATTAAAGGTACTGTTTGGAATAAAGCCGTTATTATTCTTACTATTATTATCATTATCATTGTTATTATTATGTCTATATTTGTTATGAGTAACACATTTCAGATTCACTCACTTGCCCAAAGGTGTCGATTACTAAGCAACTTCAGTAAACAATCAATTTTAAAGTCGGAAGTGGAGTAGGTGAATCATCTCTCATTACTTTTTCGTATGATAACATATCACAATGACAGATTTCTCATAAGAAGTATTACACCAAAAACTTGTATGACGTAACTGAGGAACAGGATGCATCATCACATGAAAAATGAAGAAAACTGATATAAAGTAAGAGATGGAAATGTCTAATATTTTGTAACACTGTGAGACTTTATCAAAACAAAATTGACCCATAATGGAATTACACTCTACCACAGTACACAAGTTTTATTCTTATATTTTGTAACCTGATGAACACTGCTTCAATGGAAAGATAAGCGTCTACAAATTATCTGATACTCCGGAACAACCAAGTTGGAACTCACATACACGACAAACAAATATTTCTGTACCAGAAGTATATGGCATTAGTTTCCTGACAATAACTGATACAAGTTTGACAAAATCAAAGGGAAATTCACTACTCCAACGAGGAATGCTCTGGTGAAAATTCTGTATCCCGTCGTTTTTCGCGTTCAAAGCACTCAATTGGTTGGTCACTTCCACGAAATGCCCGAAGTGATGACATATTGAAATTTACAATCTGACTACAAACTGCTAATAAGCATATGAGCATAGTAGTCCAAAATGGAAATACTGCGAAAACTGTACGATGTCTCGCAAGTATGGGTTTTTTCTCGTTATTCCTTTGACCAAGTGGAGAAAGATCATTGGAAATTAGATATTGGTCATATGACTGACCTCCAATGATCTCCTTTAAATAAAACCAAAGAACAGTCTGTACACCCAATTTCCACAGGATAACGCTGAATGTGGCTGTCTGACTGAATCTTCTTCCCACATCATGATAACCGAGTATTTGAGTAAGTCTAAAAAAATGCACAAATACGAAATGATGACATGGGTCGACGTGAGACGAAAACGAAATCTCATATTCACTCACTCAACACCGACTGAAAATCTGATGATCACATACCTTCCAGAAATGATCAGTCTAATTCCGATTAGTAGAATAATATCCAGAAACCACATCAATGCAATTGTTATGCACCAATTGTAGTAAATAGTTTCACTGAACTTCGAAATTTGTGAATATAAAACTAGGTAGCACAGTGACCACAAAATAACCGCCACCTGGGAAAACTAAGAAAATACCAACACTGAATAATACAAGTGGAAATTATTTATGAGGTGAAGATGACGTGACACAAACAAAATGTGACCATAGAAAGTAGAGAAATTCAGATATCGAGATGTGTGTGTCAGCCAAATTAGAACACTTCTATCACAGTTCAGTTTCCAATGTGGCAACCAACACAGGACTAGACAGATTACACTAAAAGCTGTCTAGTGTTTAATCGAAAGTATCCAATACAATCCTACAGGAAGTCAGTCACGAGACGACTAGCTCGGTGTGAACGTCTCAAAGCTTAGCACTGAGTGACGCGATTTTCAACCTCAAAGAAGAAATGAGTACCTTCATTGTTACAGAGACGCCTTCGTGACTGGCGAGTGCCAACTAGCACAAAACATTGGTCTAAGGCTTCCTGCTGATTACCTCCAATTATCTGACACACTAGGGATGTACTCAAAAATGCTGTCATGAACGAAAATGTGTATATGTGTAACACAACGCATCATCTCTTATTCTTCATGTATACCACTTGAATACCTTCATCGCCATACGCGTCAGTTCTCAACACACAATGAAGACATCAAAGTAATCAACGAATCCAGATGACACATACATTTATGATTTATAATCCTGACATACCTCAAAGTGAGTCATCACTTGCTTCATATCTCTGAAATATATCGCCCTCAGATATGTGTCATCACCCACACACACAACCATCGCCATATGCTTCACATTCTCAACACACAGCAAACGAACTCTTCAGTCTAGTCAGCATCCACATACACACAGATTCACCTTCAATAGGAAATTATCAACAATCGGATAGTTCATCTTCATACTCTCCACGATTTGTTATCATTGCTATTATTATTATTAATATTAACATTAAATAATATATTAAATGCATTCTCTCACATAGTATACATTGAATATAACTCACAATCATTATTCAATCTTATAGTTGGCGTAGTTCTCTAGTCAGAATTCTCGACACTCCAACTGAACTTGTTGATAATTGAATCGACTTTGCTGAAGTGATGAATGCTGTTTGCTGTCTGAAGTGACTGACTCACTGAATATGTTTTATATACACATATTCATATAAACCCACTCAAAGATGAAGCAAACTTTGGACTGTACATTTTTTGAATGAGCCTTTAAACAGCTTTGAGATTTAGGCATCCAGTCGAGAGGACACAACTTCACAGAAGTAGTGTCGGTCAGCTGAGGCTACTCTTCATTATTTTCGCGATTGAATAATTCGATTACAACAGATTCAAAGTCAGCTGTAAATCAAGTGTTCACTTCACACTGAGTAACGACGCTTCCGTTGTTATTTCACCCCACCAACCTCCACCTAATTCCTTTGAATATATATATATATATATATTGAACACTGTTGTGAACTGGCTGACTTTTTTCTTTGCGTCTACTCCCTTTGGAAGTAAAATGTATACTCTGGGAGAAATTTCTCATGAACTTATGCAGTTCTCTACGTCCCAGTTAACACCGCGTTGCAGAGCACTGCGGGAAATAGTGAGACAGGATAAACATCGCTCATATCGCGTGTCAAGTGGGTTCAAATCTGAAGTACTTTCACAGTTTCTTTTAAGATATAAAGCTTGTGCACATTTTCATGCTACTCAGTTGACCGCTGTTTCATCCAAAACAACTGCAAATACACAAACTTCATCTTGTTTGAAGTTGGAAGAATGTCTAATGCTTATTTGTAGCTGCAATCAATAATGACTGAATACCTGTGAAAGAAAGAACGGCGCAAGATTGACAGTAATCAAACATCAGTATTCCGCTGAATTTCTTGCATAATGTTCATGCAATAAATGGCAATAAGCAGTCATCAACATTTAAACAACACACAAATTCAAACAGTCGATCACCACAGGATTTCAGTAATCTATAACGCCATTCTCACACTAATCCCACTTACGGTGCACTGTGGGAAGTTTAACAATGTGAGTTTTTCTCCGTTCAGTGCTATTTTCTCAACAGGACGACATATGATACTGTCAATAACAGTGATCAAATAAAGATGGTCCCCAAATATTTCCTTTTATCTGAGAAGCATAATGTCTGTAAATGAACCATTTACATATTTCGAATGAAGATTATGTTTTCAACAACCAATCTGAATGAGAATATTACTCCGACTTAGCCATTTTCACACAGGAAGTCTTCACCCGAGGAAACTGGCACAGATAATTAATTCCCTTGAGAAATTTAAGTGAGGCATTTAGAAGACAAATATCACGAGATGATATCGTTATTTCGTAGTTTTCCTACTATCGCTTTACAACTGTCATGGTTCACAATAATAAAATAAAATGTATGACAATTACTCATTCATAGAAATACGAAGTGCTTGATCAGCTTTATAAACCTTCAAATAGAGTGGTGTGACATAATTGAGAAGCAGTAAACAATATTGATTTTGTGACCAGACGTTAATAAGTGCTTTGCAATGGGCGATAATGGATTTCTATTCAGATTAATTACAACTGGATTTTATGTGTGGCTTAATAACCACTTCCGAGCATGATCTTTTAGATGGCACTGGAACATTCAGTTAGATCTACCCATATGTGTGTCACCGTAACTGCACGTGAACTTGTAGATACAGTGTGAAGTAGAGTCCACATAGTTTCATCTTTTATTCGTTTGTACGTGAATCGAGAATGTACGAGGTTTAAGAGAGACAGATGCAGTGTAGTATATGCACTTGATAGCTGACTGAAGCTTTCGACCTGTCAGTTGGATGATTTGATCACTCTTGAATGGTAGCTTAATGAAGATAGCTTTCTTCGATACGGAAGCTGTGTTTTCAAAGGATAGTCTCTCCTTACTGTGACGCGTGATGAAATTCTCAGGATAAGCATTGGTTAATAAAACTGGATGTATGTGGCGTAGCTCATCCACTAGTGTGTCGCTCATGTAAATTTTACGGGTTCTCGGAAACAGGTATTTCACTACGGGATGTCCATACCGGATAGGAACAAAACTGGTGAAATGAAGATATCGCCAATCCCATATCTGCTTGCGAGATACGGATCGCTTAATAAATCTGTCATCCCTTACAGTCATGATTCAAACATTCTAGAAACCAAACCTCGTATTCACTTCGAATTCTCAGGTTACTCGAATATTCGGATGAGTTTTATTACAGACAGTAATGGCATTTTCAATCGACTCACGACTGTTACCGATATTGAGTGTATCATTCACACAACGTTTATGCAACATAGTGTTTCCTAGCGCGCTTTCCATTTTTCTCTCCATTTCAGACATAAATATATCTGCTAACAACGTCCCAGTAGGGTATCCCATTGCAACACCATCAGTTTGTTCGTATGCTTCTTCTTGGAAGACATGTGATATTTTCTGTACATGTCAAGATAACATTTCTGACTTAAGTGACAGGTATACGTAATTGAATTGCATTGCTTGTTATGTAAACGCAAACGAAATCAACGCTGTTGTGAATAGCAACATTGGTGAACAAAGATTCCATGTCGATGGAGCACACAATCATATTCCTCATGTCCATAGTGTCTAGTGTGTTAACGAGATCGAATGAACTTCATATGGAATTATTTGATAGAGAATATCTTACAGGTGTGAGAATCTCCTGAGGCAATTTGACAAATTTCGTGATATAGAAAATTCGAAATATCTGAAATACGTGTTGGTTCGGTTCCAAAGTTGTGAGTCTGCACGATGCCATACAAATGGAGGGAGGAATTCGATCAGATAGATGGATTTAAGTGGTTAATCAGATGTTACATTCATAAAAACATGGCGATTGTTTACTCTTTCCCAGTAGGCAAGTAACTTAACTCGTACGCACTATCTGATCACATAAATGTGAGGCGTATAAAGTATGGTATAGGCACCAATTTTGTAGTCCACTCATTAAGTCCTACGTGGAAGGACGAAGTGGGATCCTTTCCAATAAACAGGTTGTTGCATATCCAGCGTTTCATAATAATTTGCTTCATCTCAAGTGTGAGTCAACGAAGATATCAACACAACCAACACTGCAGACAGCACTCTGTGACCTCAGAAACGTAACACACCACACGAAACATGCTCAAATGCCATTTGCATTTCCGTGAAGGAAGACCAGGTGAATTCATTGGTGCACACATTCATCAACGAAAGTTCCATGACACCGAAGAACAACACCCATCTCAAAATACCTATCATATATCACAACATCGTGTGTTACCTATCATGAAGCTGTTTTACACTAACTTCCGATTTCCCAGTGAATCTGAGATAAACACTGAAATGTACCAGTCGATTCCCTCAAACAAATCAAATTTCACAATGTCCATCGCAAATCAATCACCACTTCGTTGGAAAGCAACTAGCGATGAAATCATCAGACGATTAATTATTCTGTGAATCACCGAAATATCGACAATAACCATCAGGCAGAATTCAATGGAACACGTTGTCTGCATCTTCCTATGTTTTCCGTTCCCAGTGATTCAGTCTTCTCAGGGCATTACGGATAACTGACTTCACAGGAACACTTCAATTTGTAAACACACGTTGATATAGACGAATTAGACATCATATCCTTCAAACACAACAGTTAAGGAAATACAGATGGATGTGAAAGTTGTTCCTAATGCAACTGCAGAAAGTGTATTCTTCAGACAGAATTGAACCTCCTTGTGATAATATTCTTCACATTATTCTTTCCTGGGATTGTAGCCTCCCCTGACTGTCCTGTGAGTTTAGTGCTCATCTAAGCATATTACTTCTACATGTGAAATTCATTGGATGCTCATTCTCTCTCTCTCTCCCTCGGAATATTTGTCAGATCTCCTGACCTTCTATTTGTTGCATCATTCGAGTAAACCTTCTTGAC